GATAATGATTAGGTTCTAATAGTGTGGACTCTTAATCCAGTAGGACTGCCTCCTTATAAGAGGAGACAAAGACCACAGGGAAGACAACGTGAAGATATAGAAGGACAAAAAGCAAGCCAAGCAGAGAGGTCTCAGAAGAAATCAGCCCTGTCAAATACTTTGATCTAAAACTTCTAGCCTCCAGAACTATGAAAAAATACATTTCATGGGCTGGGAAGGTGGCTCAGTGGTAGAGCGCTTGCCTTGCATGCCTAAGGTTCTGGGTTCGATTCCTTAGCACCACATAAGCAAAAAGAAAAAAAAGCCGGAAGTGGGGCTGTGGTTCAAGTGGTAGAGTGCTAGCCTTGAGCTGAGGGACAGCGCCCAGGCCCAGAGTTCAGGCCCCATGACCGGACCCCCCCCAAAAAAAATACATTTCATTTAAGGACTCAGGTTTATGGTACTTTGTTTGCTAACTCCTGAAAACTAAAACAATCACCAAAACTGAACTTTTCCCATTCTTGGTTAATGAAGCTACTCTAGAAATCAATCATTTTTTATTCCTCCTTGGACTATTTCATCAATTACTATGTTCTACTAATTCCAGCCCAGTCTGCTTCTTGTACATTTTTTCCTTTCCCACCGTGTTAAACTCCTGTGACGTCTAGCCTAGCCACTGCAATAGCAATCTAAATACAGCTGGCATAAAAGTTCTTCCTGTTCTCTTTTTATCAACTTTTCCTTTTCCTTTATGAAACTCAAATAAGTGATCTTCATGCCCTTATCAGAGAGAAGTAAAAATCAGTAATAGTGTGGTCTGAAAGAAAGGGTAATGGTGTGTGGACAGGGTATCTGGTAGCCCAGCATTAGCCACCATGCACGGCATTTCATCCTAAGTGGTCCAGTTCAACAAACAATACAACAGGCATCTTTTGGGAGATGTTTGCCTAGCTCAAGAATACACAGCCAGTCATGATATTTATCTGACATTATTATCTTTCCCAGTACCACCTCCCAGAAATTTGGGCTTAACAGTTGTTAGCAAGTAAGTACATACAGGGGAAGTAGCCAGTGACAGATGGACAATTTGTCTCAGCTCTGTTCAAAACAGAACGATTCCATTACTCTCTGCTTCTGGTACTAAAGTAGAAATCTAGTCCAACATGCTGTATCCCTTCTAGGATCCTCCTGTCCCATGATCTCCCTGATCTCATGGTATTCTCCCCCATTGCAACTACACTGCTGTCCCAGTGATTTCTGAAACAGTCTTGACATGCTCCTATCTTAAAGACTGGCCATTCCTTCTGCTGGGAATATGCTCTCCACAAAAGCATTTGCATGGCTAGTGTTCCAGCTCCTTCAAGACTTCCTTTGCTGTCAAGACTGAAAAACTACAACCCTTGCTCTCATATCCCAGCATTCCTTATACCCTTCTGTTTTTCTGTTTTCCAAAGAACTTGTAACATTTTACTTATGCCATACATTTACATTTTATTTTTGTCTTCTCTTCCTCCCATACCGAACTAACTAGGATGTAAACTTAACGGGAAAAAATGATTTTTCTCTATTTTATTTCACTAGCCCAAGCATACAAAATAATGCCTCATAGTAGATGCTCAATTAGAGAGTTCCCAGTTGAATACATGTATGCTTGGACATAAGCATTATCAAAGGAGTGAAAGCTAACCTGCAGTAGATGCAGGTAGTTCTGAAAACAGCGTAAAGGGGAGAACTAATGCATCTGACATCTGCCCATCCTTTTAAGTCATTTCTCCTTAGTTGAAACTACTTCAAGCTTTTGCCATAGTGAACAGAGAATGAGATCAACTGCAATACACTTCAACTTCGTGTTTTCCAAATGAGTAATTTTCTACATGCAAAAAAAAAAGTACAAGGCTGGGAAGGTGGCTCAGTGGTAGAGCGCTTGCCTTGCATGCATGAGGCCCTGGGTTCGATTCCTCAGTACCACATAAGCAAAAAAAAAAGCCGGAAGTGGCTCTGTGGCTCAAGTGGTAGAGTGCTAGCCTTGAGCTAAAGAACTGAGGGACAGTGTCCAGGCCCAGAGTTCAGGCCCCACCACCGGACCCCCCCAAAAAAAGAAAAAAAGTACAAGCCGGGCGCCAGTGGCTCACGTCTGTAATCCTAGCTACTCAGGAGGCTGAGATCTGAGGATCGAGGTTCAAAGCCAGCCTGAGCAGGAAAGTCCGGAAAACTCTTATCTCCAATAAACACTCAGAAAACCAGAAGTGGTGCTGTAGCTCAAGTTTGTAGAGCATGCGCCTTGAGCTGAAGAGTTGAGGGACAGCGCTCAGGCTGAGTTCAAGCCCCACGACCAACCAAAAAAAAAAAAAGTACAACTGCTTGCAGATCCTATAAAAAAAATTAATGATTTTATATTCTGTTCTACTAATGTAAGGAGCAAAACAGACAGAAACAACTTTGTGTATAATTGAGATGAAATGTGAGCACTCAACTATGGCAAAATGTTTAATAACTTTATGTCTTCGTAGATCAGTTCTTGCTTGCAACATCTAATTTGAAATTATAGTGTTCTTCCTTTAAGGAGAATAGAAAAATACCCTTGAGTTAAGGATAGCTTTTTCTCTGAAACTGGAAAAAAATCTCAGTGCACTGCATGATCAAATGAATGAAGAGATTACTAATATAAGGTATCTGCCAGTCTGGAGTCATCTACTTCTGTGTTACAAAATTATAAATTTGATTTTTACAAAAAATGTAAGTTATAATCATTTTAGAGATGGCAAAAATTAGGAGGAATGATGAAGAGGGTGACAATGATCAAGATACAATGTACTCAGAAACTGACATGTTGAATTGATAAACCTCTGTACAACTACTTAAAAGATAAAATTTAAAAAGAAGGCAAAATTTACCACCAATATAAAACATCCTGTGCATAACACTATCATATACGGTACACTACTATTCTGAGGGGGAGCTTGGGTCCTGGGGCTTGATCTCAGGGCCTGGGCACTGTCCCTGAGGTTCTTTTTCTCAAGGCTAGCACCCTACCACTAGAGCCACAGCACCACTTCCAACTTTCTCTGAGTAGTTTACTGGAGCTAAGAGTCTCTCAGACCTTCTTGCCAGGGCTGGGTTGGAACTCTTGAGCCTCAGATCTCAGCCTCCTGAGTAACTAGGATTACACGTGGGAGCCACCAGCATCTGGCAAGTTTATATATATATATATATAAAATATATATAAAATCATGAAATCTTTTTCCTTCCAAAGCTAGCTCAAGTTAAACTTAAATTATAAAAATTTCAAGACTTCCAACTGGAATTTTACAAAACTAAAATTTTACAAAATCAGGTGTGAGAAGTATTAAAATTCACTTTCATGTCATAACCAATCAAAATAAATGTAAAATAAGGTTTTTGTAAACTTTTATTAATGATTCATCTATACAGAGTGATAGAAACAAGTTATCTCTATACTGGACACTTGGGCTCCACTTACAAATATTTAAATGTGAGATCTGACATGAATTTGAATCTTGCCCTTTCCATTTACTGCCTGTGTGACTTAGTGCAAATTACTTGTCCAAGCCTTCCGTTTCCTCACCTGTAAGCAAGGATAGTGCCTACCTAAAAATGCTCACAGAATTACGAGAGATATCTATAAAACACATAGATCAGAAAATACCACACACTCTTCAATAAATAATTTAATACAGTACAGTATTCAAAAGGGTTACAAGCATGCTGTTCACTTCATAACCCACAGACATCCTGAGTTCCCAGACTATAAGTGTAAGCAATTACTAAGTTGCCAAACTAAAAGAATAGTGCTTTTAATATGCCAATACATATCTAATAATATATCCTACATTTATACATTCACTGGGCACCAGTGGATCATGCCTGTAATCATAGCAACTCAGGAGGTTGAAATTTCAAAGACTGCAATTTTAACACAGGTTGGGCAGAAAAGTCCCCGAGCCTCCATCTCCAAAACAACCAGCAAAAAGCTGGGCTAGAGGCATAACTCAAGTGGTACAGTAATAGCCCAATCCAGCTCCAGGCCCTGAGTTCAAAACCAGGAACCTGCCAAGAAAAGGAAGATGAGGGGAAGAAGAGGGAGGGAGAGGGGAAAAGAGAAGTGGAGGTGAGAGGAGAGAGAGAGAAGGAGAGGAGAGGAGAGGAGAGAAGGGAGTGGGGGTGGGGTGGGAGAAGAGAGATGAGGGGGACTTGAATCCAAGCTAGACAGGGTAGTGCACTTGAAACTACAGCCCTCTGAAGACTAAGGGAGGAGAGTTCCAGGCCATCCTGAAAGGGGGGGGGGGGGGGGGGGGGGGGGGGAGAAAAACGGAGGGGGGGGGTGGAGGTGGGTAAGTAGCAAAAGTATCTCAAATCCAAATGGATGTAAACCCTGTGTGGATGGAAATTTAGGGGCAAAGTCCGCCTTTCAAGAAGAATAGGATTTCCTAATCTCCAGCTGGTTCCCTTTACTATTTTTTCCAAAGGACTGGGCAGCGGCTTACAGCTCAATGCGTATGATCAGCACGTGATGAAAGGGCAACTATTCTCGATCCGAATACCTAAGTTCACATCTGTCTCCAACCGCCCATGTGAACCCTGGACCGGCTGATAGAGTAAGCCTCCATTTCCACAGGTATAAAAGACAGTAGGACCTACCTACTTCCACAGGGCTGATACCAGGAGGAAATGGGAATGTGAGGACACCTGGGAAACTATCAAATGCCCCGTGTCGTCTGCACCGTGAGCTTTCCATTCAGGAAAGACTTTTTAAAAGTAGGAATCATGTTGCATCGGCCCAAGCTTCTGATTACGCACTAGACTCCACGACACTGGCTCAAGGATTCCTTTTTCCACCACAAGTCCCCCAAACCGCACTCCACAACCCCGAGGAGGCCTGGTCCCCAGGGCGTCCAACCCATCTGCGCCGGGGACCGGGGACCGCAAGGCCCGCAATCCCCTCCACCGACAGAAACCTGCTCTCAAGGAAGCGGGGCGACGCGGCCCGGCGAGCTGTTTACCCCCGAGCTCCGGTCCACCGGGCGAGCGGAGGCACCGCCGGCCACGTCTCCACACCCACGTAGTCAGTCTCGAAGCAACTCGGACCCGGCCCGGCTCACCGCGGTGGAGGGTTCAGAAGAAACCCAGGCGACGCC